ACTTTATTAAAGTCCTTACCCACCTTCTTTTAACACATTGACGACCGCGCGCGTTTTGGCTTTTTTGGCCGTGTGGGACCGGGCCGATTTTGCGAGTGCGACCGCCGCACCTCGGATCCGTGAATTTTTATTGATAACTTTTTAAAGCACCAGTGGTACAAAAACATCTCAGTAACAGTCAATGCGTAGAAGGTAATAGAGTATATAGTGACGAAGTTCCGATTAAAGAACATGTAATGGTAATGAAAAAGGAAACTTTAGTCATTTTATCTGTAGTGGATGCCAAAAGCTCTTTTGATGTGGTTATACCAAGTGAAACATGTATTTTTCTGTCTCTTTAGATTTGCATTTACTTTCACTACCCTTTTTTATTGACGTGTTCATGAGAATAGCATGAAAACTATTAATGAACCAAGCCGCCGGTTTCGGTGAGCTTGGAAAACTTCTTCTAAACTGGAGCATATTTGAACAAACAATGACCTATGTCGTTCACAATAATGTTATGTTCTAATCCATAGAAGAGAGACAAACAATTCGGGAAAAAGCTGCGCATGCCCTAGAAAAAGGGATGATAAGGGTGAGACGCGGTAACGCGTCTCAATGTCCAACGAGGTGCGCAAAGTGAGACGCGTTACCGCGTCTCAATGTCGTCAATGTGTTAAGATCTAAAAATAGTATAAGATCTGATATCATTCTCGACCTCTTGTTCGAACTAGCACCTACTAATAAATTTCGTCCCTATATTTATGCTACACACCTGAATTTTGATAATTCATTGAACAGTATGGAGAAGTCGCTTGCCAGTGACGCACTTCGCGGTACTTTCAGAAATCCTTTTTCTTCACGCATTCTTTCACTTATTTTGTCGTAACTTGACTGGAGCAGTCACTGTTGTACGTTTTAAACGTTTCAGTTGTCTCTCAAGCAATCTGGTTTAATATCCTCTACCGCAACAGTGACATTGCAATCGATTGATTGGAGCAGCCATAGGATCCCAAAGAAACTCAGAAACCGAATGATCTCATTGTTTTAACGCACGACATCGCGCGTTTTGGCTTTTTTGGCCGCGTGGGACCGGCGCGATTTTGCAGGCGCCGCCTTACCTAATAACTGTGAATTTTGAGCTGTAAATACGCAAAATTGTATGCGACAGAATGTTTCCATTATTGTTCAATGTATTCAACTTATCGGGAGTTAATGGAAGTTCGACCAAAATAGCTGTTATGACTACAAGAAGGCAAATTTTACGTGCTTTCTGCTTTAATGGTTCCAAAATTATTTTGAATATATTTGTTTCAATGGAAACATATATCTTGAAATGCGACTAGGTTTGCATTCACTTCTATTACTCTTTTTCATCATCGTGTTAATGTTAATGAGAAGTTAGGTCATTCTGTGAGCCACGTGGTTTTTAGTTATGTTGCCGTGTGGCCTTAGAATGAGCACAAAAAACTTGGAATGAAGTCGAGTATGTGCGAAAACAAATAAGAGTGTGGCATAGTTGCTACAATGTCCGACGTGATGCAAAAATGGCGGCATGTATAGTTGCCGCGCTGTTGTCAAGGTGTTAAAGCAACGTTTAACAGGAAATCAAATGCCATTCCTGTGAAGATTTCAAGAGGACTACGAAAAAATCTTCACATCATCCTGCTTTATGAGAGCAGAGTTGACACAAATGACCTTTTGAAGGGAGCGATTTCAATGAGCGACTGCACACAGAAGAAGTATTTGCGCCACTGGAACCAAGAGTTAAGCGGCTAAGGAAGCGAGATGTGTTAACTCCGCGAAAGGTGAGGTATTTTCAGCGTAGAAAAGCTCCAGAGTTGAAAACCATAACGCTCCGATACCGCTCCACCCACTAGTTCAGTTGGTGATTTGTACAAGCTGTGTTGTTCAGAGGTGGCATCGTTCGCATTCATTTTGCAAAAGAATTTCACTTCAAGCGGCTATACCTTTTAGATTGCTTTGGTAACGTTATCAACCAGTCAAGTGACCTCTTCCTTGAGGCCGCTCATCCATGGTCGAAAATGAAGGGGTAAACAGTCTGAGGTTGACTGACAAATTTCTCTGGTTTTTTACCACTGAAGCCCAATAGAACACCTCCACACACCCTCTACACTCATGGAGAGCATAGTGTCTGCCTTTAAAGATGGAATAACTAATAACTAACGAATAACTGCAACGCGGCAACAGGAACCACTTATCGACGCTCTTCAAACCAATCATTCTTATTAATTATTTCATTTATTTACTCAAGAACAGTGTCGGCAGCCAAAAAAACAAAAGGAGATGCAGGACTTCACCTTCTACACATTTTTCTTCCCAAAAGCGTCCCTAAACATGGCGGGCGGCCCGCCGTATTTGTGGTGAGGGGGATCGTTTTTAAGGCTTTCGGTGATTCAGGACGCGTACTGTGGTGATCGTGGAGATTGAGGGGTTGTGTTGTAGTGCGAGTGAAGAAGGCGCTACGACGATTTTTCTTCTTTTTTTGTGAAATTTTTTACAAAAAAAAAGAATGTGATAGGCAAGTAGACACCGTTGCTTTTAATGCATTTACTTGCAAATCCCTATGCCGCAACCACCTTGAAAGCATGGTATTGACGGCATTGTGGCAAGGAGCTAGCAGCCATGATTCCCATGTCCCCCCCCCCACCACCCGATCCTCATCCTCTGCTACCCACCTGGCTTTCCCCCTCCACAAGTTAGATGCGTGGCTCCTTGTGAGCTGACATTCCGAGAGTCGGGAGCGGACAGCCGCAAAGATATGATAGGCATTACGACGAAACCGTGAAGTGGGGAAGGGAAGGATAGGTTAGAGGGTGGTGTATACGCCCCTACCCTGCTCGGAGGTACAGAATACGGCCCACGGCGTGGTCGGCTGATCAAATTCTTCAAATAGGTGAAAAGAAACGCCATTAATACCCTGTAAGTATCTTTGTGAAGTCACTTATTAATCTAGGCCCTTTTAGTCAAAATTGTTCCAACACTGCTGAATAAAAGGTACACATCCCGGAATGATTTCGTCTCAAAACTACACGCTTCAATTAAGCCCAAGCCTAGTAATTAAGAAATCTAGAATCGATGGGGACCCGATTTTCCGCTAAAATAATGGAAGCAGTTCCCATAGATCGCGCCATAACTAAATGCATGGAATGTGCAGAACCGTGGAACGTGAAACGCGCTACCAGTCTATACGTGTCGATTAGATTGTTCGCGCGTGGCCACCGCATACAGTAAGCGGGAAATGCACGGAATGAGCAAGAAGAGCGGATCAGAACTGATTCAATCTTTTAAGCCTGCAGTCCACATCCAGCTAAACTCCAAGATTTAAAAGATTGCAAAAGGCATCAACACGAAGTTGTTGGACGACTGCTGCTGGATTACTTTTGAAGAGTAAACTTAGGTCGAGTTTTACCTCGCAGCTGCAACCGTACCCACTGATCAAAGCCATTAAAACAACCAACTGCTGTCGCCACCATAGGAATTAATAGAGCAATTTACCTAGTACCTAAGTTCAAATTTACTTCTGTCTCCCACGAAAGATAAATCACCATAAAAATTTCTCATAGCATTCATGAAGGAAGAAAGCAAAATAAAAAAAGAGGAAAGGAGAAAGTAATTACAAGCCAACGTACGTGGTTAAATCCCAAAGGCGAAGAGTCTTATCCCAAGAACCGGAAAGTGCGAACTGTCCATCTGAGGAAATGGCGACATCAGAAACGAAATGGTTGTGACCAGTTAAAGCCTTCACTGGACGGCCAATAGCATCAATATCGCTGACGACATTGTCTACATCCCAAAGGATAATGGTGCGATCTGAAAATGTATGCTGCAGTTATATGGACCAACCAGAGCTCCTAGAAATAACTTCCTCTTTTCTTTTATAAAACTGCCTCAGTTGCAAAAAAAAACACTGACGATCAAAATCAACTAGATTCGCTGTTACCCTAGAAGTGCATCACTGCTCTTTCCGATACAGATCTCCTCTAAAGTTTCGAGGAGAGGGAATCGCCAGAGAGCGCAGATGCGGTAAAGGGTTGAGTTCAAGTAGTCCGTCAAGCCTAAAGTTTCAAGAGCGCATCGAAATTGCAATGGAGGCATAGCGAAACCTTCCAAGCACAGTGGACGTCTAGCTAGACAACTTAAACGGAAAAAGGAACATCGCTGTGAAGTCTGATGGCGAAGCAGGAACTTTAAAAATTTGCATAGCAGTTTCTTTTTGCGTTCCTAATAAACATGAATAAAGACCGTCGTAAGCAGTGAAAATAATTACAGCTTTCGAACGCAAAAGTTAAGTTATTTGCAAGCTTTCATGAACGAAAAGTCTTCAAGTTTCTGTTTGCGCTGCTTGAGGCAAGTCCCACTCGACTTAAAAAAAAAAGATCAAAGCGGATATGGCAGCACTTTCCCCTACCCGGCGAGGATGAGATTTTGTCCAAAACAGAACAATGGGGCATCCAAAAATGTTCAAATTACGGCTCCTACCATTAGGATTTTGACTAGTTGGAAAACGTTAAAGTCCGCCAAAGAACAACGTCTCGGAATCGTGTCAATAGCACTCACCACGAGATGAAGAAACAACAGTGGTTTTGTCGTTGTGGGTGAAGGTAGCGATCTGTGTTACCCACCCATTGTGGCCCTCAAGGGTGCCTTTAAGCTGCATTTGTTCAACCACCATGTTGACCCTGTCCGAGTTAAAATCTTAAATGCATGTATAAATCAAGGATCGAATGAAAAAAAAACATAACCAACAATTATCGGGAGCAAATTCAATGGATGAAACGCAGATGAGTTAAAAAAAAAACACCGAATCCACCTCCTCCACAGAGTGGAACGAAGAGCCACATATTTTATTGCCTACTGAGAAAAGTTACTACGGCTTGAAACGTTTTACAAATCGTATTTCTAACAAAAACAATTAAAAGAAATACAATGCCCAAAATTATTGAAAATAGAAACGGCCGGCAGATTCTGTAGCACATCTTGTCCATCCACACGGGACCACTGGACGAACACCATTATACACCCTTTAACGACGAAAAATAAATCACGCATGCGAATCCTGCAGTTGTTTTGATGATTGCCTCATAACTGTTTAATCTTTTTGATTGCTTTAATTTTATTGGTACTTTTGCTGACATTTTCACTAATGGTTGAGCAGTTGTTTTGACAGTGTGGGTCAGGGAAGTCTTGTACGTTTGTATTGGACTGATCCGGCGACGATCTCATTTCGTTTTTCTCTTTCGTCTTTGCAAAGGCACTGCATCACTGGTGTCAGAACATTATGAGGTTAAAGCTTGTCGTTCGCCGAAACCCTGCTCTCAAATTAAGGTCTGCTCTCCGGCGGGGAGGGGGAGGTGAGGAAAATTTGCTGCTAAAATAAGGAAAGCTGTCAAAGTAATGTTTACGAAGCACTCAATCAGCTTAAAAAGCAGTACATGTACTTTTAGAATGTACACCTGTAAAATCCGCTAAGAGACGTCTTCGCAATATACGGGACGTTTCGTAAACGCATGTAAATGTCTCGTTGAGGTCTCTAAACGCGTACATGTTAAAGCAACAGTCCCAGCAGGGTTTTTACCTTCGACACTAATGGTGTGGAACGATGCGCTAGCCCTAGTCAAGAACATAAGAAGTGTGACTGAACAAAAAACTCACCTTGGAAAGCCGCTAGAAAGGGAGCTGAACGGCTCCGAAGTGGGCGTGGTTGCGAATCGGCTGCAGTCCCGTCTGCCCCTTTTGTTTCCAACAGATCCGTCTGAATTATTTTGTTTTGTTAAATGCCTAGAAGCTTCACTGTGTGATAGATTTCGACATGTTCTCTTCTGTTAAGCTGCACTGCATGGACATCTGCAACAGCGCGATCACCTTCGGTATTCTTGAAATTTTGTTACCCGATTTTTGTTTTGAAAAGCATTCACATGATGACAAATGGCGTCGTTCTAAGCCAATGTCAGCAATGAAAACTTAAATTGTAAACCCCCAATTCTGCATTTCGTAGATTAGGTTTGACCTTGCCTGCAGCAGGTTGTCTTTGAACTTATAGTGACTCGTTTCGCGTACCAATTGCAGAACGATCAGACCAGCCGCCACCCAGTGTTGAATTTGTTGAATTTTTCTCTGCACCTGCGGGAAAGTTACATCCGTAATTTTGTCTTGGTTGCTGATTGAGCCTGATTCGGAGTGTTAATTTCATTTGGGTATTATTGTGCAACGGAAATGGCTTACCTTACACTTAACACGCTTTGGAGAATCCCATTCCGCAACGTTTCCTTAGTCGCTACAAATTGAAACTCGAATTTGTATTGACTTTGGCTTACTTGTGTTCGTTTAAGAGTGTCCGTGACATTTTGAAGTTACCATAAAACCGCTGTCGTTTTTTTTTTCCAGGTAGCTTCGAACAACAACATAGAAGTTCAATTCCATATCTGCTTCACCTTCCCCTCCTGCAGACAAATCTCCTCCACCTTCCCCCAGCTTGGCTTACGCGAAGTAATTGTTCTTGGTCTTTGCTTTTATCTTGGTCGTTTTAGTTTTTTTTTTTCCTCCAAAATAGAGTTACACTACTGTTTGAAATTTGGGGAAAATGTGGTGTGTGGACATGAGTATTATGGGTGTTGATCGAGGGCTAGAGTCATTCAGTAGCATATCTTCTAAGAGAATGGAATGGGTTGCATTAGCGTAACAAACGGATAAGTTTTATTGGTGTCATCTGTACAAAATAGATCTTTCAGTTTTTTTGCCTCCTGGGGTCTAAACGATTCATTAATTCATGATCTTGTATAGGCAAGGTGTGAAGTCCGAAACAAGAAGCTGAGAATCTTCAACAAAAATGAAATTTCTGTGACTCGTTGATATTAACTCGTAATGGGCTACTGTTGCTCTAAGACTTTATTTTATTGCATTTGTGCATTTGTTTTCAATAGTACTGTGGTATTCTGCAAGTACGTCCTAGTGACTTAGCACGTTGTTGTGACAAAGCATGGAAATCAGCCATATCCACGGGATAAAAGAACTTCTTTCGGCCGCATGCCCAATCAAAATCGTTCCTAAACTGGTGTTCCTGTTTTGATTTTTTATTTCCGGATTTAATCGTCGTAGGTCATGCAACCAGCTGTGATCGTTGCGCGTCTACGAAGCGCTAAGCTGTGTGTTTCGCGGCCATCGATCGATCGCTGGCTGCTGGTCTGACCAGTTCAAGGCGTGAGGCCACCGCGAACTCCTTCACGCTCGCTCGCATGCTCTTCACCCACCCAAAACATCCTTAACTACCCTCCACTTTTGGTCCAACATCACTTCATCATGTTACGCTCGGTCCGTATGTCCCAAACTGATGCAATAGTCAATTCCTCGTATTTATTTCCTTTGATGATTTCATTAACTTTTTTTTTACAATTTATTTCCGAAGTAGGTGTAATTCTACGCACAGATCTCAGGCATGCAAGAACAAGCATACTGAAAGTGGTTTTAGTTAAGGTTATCAACTCTTATTCGGAATCGTTTAATGAGTGATATCCAAACCGTACATATTGTAATTATTTGTGAATGTGTAGTAATCATTGTCGAGTGCTATATAACTAGACGTTGAGCCTTATGGACCTCCCCCTCCCACTCAGGGTCAACCCTATCGTTGTTACTCTGGACATTTTTTACGACCCCCCCCCTTCATGGGTGATTTGATACGACCCCCCTTGTATGTGACACTTGTGTAGAGACAGTGTTTACCATCAATATTTTCTACGTAAGTCATCAAAGATGAAACTTTAGCAAAATCCACGACAGATATTCATCGCTGCTTCCAAACACGAAAAAATGAGATGCATTCAAAGATATCCGTGTACTCCAAAGGGTTACCAAACTAGGAGATGAAATAAACTGAACCAGTGACCGGAATATTGACAACATTACCTGATAAAAACTTATGAGAAGTCAGAAAAAATTATCGCTCCAATTGAAATACTGAAATCCTTCACGTTCTTCAATTGCAACACAATTTTTACACCCCTCTTTCTAAGGCTATAACTTCCTTCATATTCGAGCTTCTGCGCCGAAGTGATTTGATTTGGAAAATTCAAATTATTCTCTCTCCAACCATGGGTAAAAAATTCTTCGAAAGTTAATTTAATAAAAATTTAGTACGTTGTTACTTTTTTCTGTGCAAAGGCGACTTTTTGACCTTCAAACGATCATAACTTCCTTCAAAGTCATTCATTTGGGAAGCTGAACACGTATAATAAACTACAGGATTCAAGCTTTCTACGAGCACCCAAGCGTTCCTGAAAGATCAGTAGTTCAAAAATTAGTCCCGTTGTTACTTTTTTGGGGGTTTGCGTTACTATTTTTTTGGAACCGCGACTTTTTTACCTTCAAACGATCATAACTTCCTTCAAAGTCATTCATTTGGGAAGCTGAACACGGTATAATAAACTACAGGTTTCAAGCTTTCTACGAGCACCCAAGCGTTCCTGAAAGATCAGCAGTTCAAAAATTAGTCCCGTTGTTACTTTTTATTTTGAGGGGTATTCTTCAAGCCATTTTCTCGAAAACGCGAGTTTTCTTAGGTTTCACTGCCCGTAACTTCTTGGAAAGACCAATTTTATGTTTAATTAGGATGTGCTAGAAAAGCTCCGAGCATGCGCTTGCACTACATCCCTTGCCTTGGTGCGCGCCACGCCTCGGGCGCCCTTCTAATTCGCTGATTCATTTGAAAGCTCATTTAGAGGGAAGCGTGGTTTATAGATGCTCTAGTATCAGTCATCTTACGAAAACGTAACGTGCTGGCTATTATCCGATATTACCAAGAATCCCACTGTCGGCCACCGAGAGGGTACGACCCCCCTCCAAGCTCAACTGAGTACGACCCCCCGTTGTTACTCGTAACAACGTAGGGTTGACCCTGCTCCCACTCCCCCTCCTTCTCCACCATCTTCTCGACCAATATGAGAAAAAGATTTAAAATTTCACTGGTTTCCCTTCTAGAAATCAGGGAAGAGAGTGTTTACTATTTGTTTCTGATGTATGGATCTGTGTCGTATGTGTCAAAATACAATGAAAACGTGCTAAAAGTATATAACTTTCATTAAAAATGCAAACGAATTTAGAGGGTTTCTTCCATATCCCCGGGGGAAGTTTAAGCGGTTCTGATTCGGCAGTGAGACCAACATGAAGTTTTTTTTTTTCTCGAAGCGTTCAATAGTTATATTAAGAGGAGCATTTTTGACATTGTGGATATTGTTTGTTAGAAAAATGTGTGGACGCTCCAAAGTTTTTAGAGACTAACCCTATCTCCTAAACGTTATGAGAACAACTCGATGAGTTTAATATGACTGTTTTATTCCGTCGCAGTTTACCACAAGTAAACGGAATCCGTCAAACGGAAAACTCTTATTTCTATTTTTCTATTTTCTCTAGTTGTCACTGAAGAATTTGTGGAAAATTCGAAAAATTCATGTTACATTAGTATTACTTTATTATGCCCATCGCATAGGAAAAGGTGAGAATGAAGCTAGTTTTGACAACGAATGAAAGTCGGTTTTACTTTGACTGTTGAAAAGGCTGGGTATTTATTGAGCGATTATTGAGAGTATTGATTATTGACAATTACTTGAACAGTTGGAACGTTTTTCCGTTGGGACGGAATGTGAGTGGCGTGGTTATCTCGTTCATCGAGCTGTAAAG